GCCTGAATCCCTGTGCAAAGTAACTGGCTACACCCTTGAAGACATCAAGCCTTGCCTCATGGACCTACACAACACCTACCTCAGAGCCGCCCAGCACACACAGCAGTCCATAAGGGAAAAGTACAAGGGTACAAAGTAAGTATCTGTACAGATGATAGGAGAAGTTGGGGGTGTTAGTTGTCCTGACACACAACTGCTTGGCAGGGTGTGGGGAGTGTCTTGAGTCTTCAGGCAGACCCAGCTAAACAAATCTATCACCTCAGTGAAATGGTGACAAGACTCACCAGGTTTTTGCACGGTGGCTTGTTGAGCAATATTTGGTGTTCACCACCAGGCCTGTCACTGCCTGAACTCAGGTAGAAACTGAGGAATTTTCTTCATGTTCCTACAATTGGTGAAACCTAATGCTCCTAAACATCTGTGTGGGCATGGCAGCCAACAAGCCCCAAAATGTTTCCTGCCTTGTAAGCAATGTGCTTTGCAGTTTGTATGCTGCTCTTCCTGGCAGAGAGCAGCATGACATCCTGCATCCTTTTTCCCCCTCTCTAGGTACCACGGAGTATCGCTTATTGACCCACCAGACACACTAAACTTATTGTAATAATCAAGAGACTGATCTTTTTGCAAGATGTATATTACAAGATAATGATGTACAGTTTTAAACATGGTTCAGAATTCTACATGTGATCACTCAGAATATGAATACAGGCTTGGATGACTTTCATTATGAAGTTAGTTTTAAGTGGTTTTAATGTCAGTCTTTTCTACATTCAGTCTTGTTGAGAGTTTTAGCTGGGGGTTTTATCAAAAGGTTCTCTACAAGCACAGAAGTAACCATGCAGACCATGTGAAGTCTGAGATTGATTATCTAATTATAGACTAAACATTAATGTTAGCAGTGCATTATTATAGTAGGGCTTTTTCTCCTTCTGGGTAAGAAAGACTTGGACTCCTCCACAGCAGTATTTGTAGCATTTTTATACTGTCTAGTTTAACCTGACACTTGGCATAGATCCAAAATGTGGCTTAATGGCTATAATACTGGAAGAAACTATAAGGCTATGGGGAGAACATCTTACTGGAATAGACTTGTGTGATACTCTTTAGGATGTGCCTTGATTGTTACATAATGTAGTGCCAGATCTTCATCAGGTTAAAGGCTGAGTGCTCTGAGCAGGGACTGCATGGTTAAAACTCCCTCACCAGTTCATACTTCTCACTTATGCTATGCAGAAGATGATCTTGCTACAGTTATTTTCTAGTCCAAGTGTAAGACTGATACTAATTTAAACCCATGGAGTTCTCATTGTTGTGTACCTGTTGTGAAAGCCCATCCATACCTACCAAAAATTTACTCTGCTTACCTAGTACCTCTCAGGGGGTGGTGGAGGGATTAAACTGCAGGAGTGTGAACTACTGCTCTCTGCCCTCAAGATGAGGGAATGTCTTCTGATATGGATGGGCTCTGTGCAGAATGGTTGGAATTCTGTACACCCCTCATGCTTGGAAGTTCCTGTGTGGTATGCAGCAAAAGTGTAGACTGACTGGTTGTGTTTTTCCTTGGTTATGGAACTGTTACATGAGCAAGCTAGCACAGACTCAGCATTAGATCAAGTGGATGTTTACCTTCAACCTGTGTAAATGGAGTGATGCTGCCCTGTACCTGCTGTTCTTTGCATGTAAAGCAGTGAGTGCACCATGTGGGCTGAATTCAGCCATTTCCAGGTTGGCTAATAAACAGGTTTTTTTAGATCTGATGCTAGTAGTCTTGCCAATACCTTAAAACCAGAGTAGTACTGTCATCTTAAATTGGCATTCATTTCTCAAGCTTTTTGGCAAGGGCTGCCCTGTGAAACCTGTGCCTCTCTGACATGAAGCTAATCCAGTGGTGTCTGTCTGGTTATCCAGGCACCCAGTAGAGAGTGTGAAGAGTCAGAAGAGTCAGCTCTTCACAGGTGTCCAGCAGCTGTTGGCTATTTGAAGTAACTTTTTTTAAAATCATCAGCCCTCTGTCCAGCTGATAAGCAGGTGTTAATGTGATACAACCCACACATCTCAACTCAGGAACTCCCAACTTGCTGTTCTGCCCCTAGCCCTGTGCTGCAGTCTGAGCCCTCTGAACCACCTCAGTTACAAAGCTAGTCGAATTGAGTGGTGGTGCTTATCCAGTCAAAAGACACAGCAGACATAACCTTTTCGGCCAATCTGAGCTTGGACTTCTATGCATGTTGTGATGTTTAATGAAGAATCATATTTCACTGGTCAGTAGCCTTTATTTAGCTATTATTATAAACCAAAACTACCCTGGAACAGCAACGCAGAGTATCATGTCCGGGGCTTAGGACTGGAAGCACTCTAACCTTGCAGGAGAGGGAGTTAGGATACAAAGGAATGTGTTTTCCATGTGTGTGGCCTTGGAAGGACAACTCACAGTGGTGACTAGCAGTTGTTCTCTGAAGACAACAGAGCACAGTGCTCTTCCTGAGAAACTTCCTGAGACCACTGAGAAATATCAACATTGGCAAAAGAGTAATTTAAAGAAAGCTTCTGGTTTATTTTCCCCAGAACAGAGCAAGCAGCGGTACTTAGGTTAAAGGACTTAAGTGGGTTTTAGTATTAATTTACTGGCTGATAAGTTATCTTTGCTCTAGTTTCAAGGGGAGTTGTTCCATTACTGTTCCCATAGCACAGAGGAAAATTGTTCCTTGCTTCCTGAGCTTTACTTTGACCAGACCAACATCACTTTCTCTACAGCCTAACAGAAAAACTTCAGGCATGGGCTGGCACCTCTGCCCAGCATGACTATGTTTCTCCTTCCTCACTGGCAGCTCTTGCTGCTGCGGTACATACCTTTTTCCACTTTCTCATTTTCCCAGGTTAATGTGGGGCAATTCCACCTTTTGCCACTAAGCTTTGAAGAAAATATCCCAGGTACTCTACTGTTTTGCCTATCCAATTTAACTTCTAGTCCTTTCAAACTCTCAAAAAAGGCTCTAAGGCATGTTGGGATGAGATGTTATGTGTGAAGTGCAAAAGAGCAGTCTGAAAAACTGTTTGTTTCTCTGAATAACTTTAGAGTAGTCTGGTGCTGTGGAATTCGGGAGAAACTGCATCTTAACCCATTTTTGTACTGAGGACAGTGACTTTGGGCTGAAAGAACTGACACTAAGAAAATGCACTGGTTTAGTTGCTGGAGACAAGGAGGGTTGTGTTGGTCCCTTTCTGAAAGAGCACAAGATTAAAGCTTTGCATGGCTGGGAGCAATTTTGGGTTTTTTTAAACATTGACTCTTAACCTGATTTGGGGAATGTAACAGCTCTAACAGTAACTTCTCTCCTGTTCATACCTCATGACATGCTGAGGTCATATGTAAAATAGTCCTCCTTCAATCTTGTAAATATGTGTGTGTTTCCAATGTGGCTTGTTTACAACCCAAGTGCCTAGACCACATGTTTTTGAGCGCTCCTTGTCTGTTTGCCCAGTTCTAAATTCAGAGCACCATTCTTTCCCTCTACTTCCAGAAGCATTCCTGTCTGTTGCATGTTATATTTAATTAAACTTTTTAAGAAACTCCACTGCTCAAGTATGAGTTGCTTCTGTTATTTTGTGGCAGTACATTGCATTTCTGTTAGATTTTATGTAAAGCAGTTTGACTAAAAGGTAAGATGTGGAGTGACACGGGCAAGAGAGTCTTAGTCACAGCACATCATTGCCCCCTGTGAAGAACATTCTAAGGGATAAAACATGCCCAAGATGTGGCAACAGCTACATTAAGAGAAGCTTTTTCTGGTAATAATCTTGATCCTTAATTCCTCTGACCACCTGACTTCTGGCTCTGCACAGCTCACACTCCAGCAATGGCAGAGACTGTTGTGTTAAGAAAGCAACACATCTTGCATCTGCCCTTCAGATTGTGGAGTTTGAGTAAGTTCAGGCTGAACCAGTGAGTTTTTGCTGCAGCTGAATGTCACCATGGAATTTCAGGTACATGCAAAATTTCTTTATTTAAAGCTGTATACAATAGTTTTGCAATATACATAAAAGCAGGACCAGATCTGGGCCAGGAGGAAATAAAATTATCTACAAAAATAATTCAGTAATAAGACCAAACTGTATTATACAGCATTTCTGCAGGAGGGATGGTGACTTTAACGAGCAGTTCTCTTCTTTCTTCTCCTTTTGTTAAAGGCTTTCTTAGTTGGATTTTCTGCTTTTGAGCTGGTCTGTGCTCTGTGAGCAAACATTTGTATCAGAGAAAGGTACTGAATAGTTTTGCTGTTTCAAAAGAACACAGACTGATCATGCATTATTGGACAACCACCCACACTTGGTGCCAAGTTCTTCTAACTTCATTTATTACCCCCAATGAGAGTTTCCATTGCTAGTGCAGACACACAGCAGCAAATCTCACTTCTTGGACGTAAAACTTAGCATTAGTTCTAGCATAACATTATGGTCTGACTCCCTTTGGAATGGTCTTCTAGCCATCTGGGACAGCTGCAGGTCAGCCAGGCTCTGATCTCCCAGGACAGGAATGACCCTGCAGGTCAGCCAGGCTCTGATCTCCCCGGACAGGAATGAACTAGATAGACTAGATTTAGACTTCCTCACTCTTAGCTATCTTTGTAGTCCCCTTGATTATTTGAAACCTTTCTTGGCCTTGCCAAAATCCTGTCCTTCCTGGCAATACTCCATAGAATCTCCTTTCCCCTCCTAATTTCACATGTTAGTTACCTTGTTTTCCGTGGTACTTCCTGTGGTTCCAGAATGATAACTTCTTCCTCTTCACTGTCAGACAGTACCACAGGTTCATCTGAAAAAACAACCAAACAGCCAAATCAACCACAAATTGGTGATCAGTTTTGTACAAACAACTTCTGTAGCTAATGGCCACAGCATTTTGAAAGAAACATTCAGAGTGGCTAGTAATTAATTCGGAGCCCTCCCTGTACTACAGAAATCAAGTTTGGAAGAGGAGTGACCAGGTGAAGTGAGAGTAGCCAATGTGGAAAGTGGCTACAATGGTACTTTCTTGCTAAGAACCTCTTGAACATTTTTATTCTTGTTAAAGTGATATAATAAGCACAGCTGGTATTTATGAGATCTCATGAAGACTTACCCTTCTTAGTTTCCCTTACTGTTCTTGTATCCTCAGATTCTACTGTCTGACATTCCAAAGCAGCTGCCTCACTTTCACCTTCCTCTTCTGCTGCTTCTTCCTTCTCAGACTCTTCAAGGTCTCCCCAGGAGTTCTCTATCCCCTCCCCGATTTGGGCTGTCCCAGGAGTGTGCAAGACTGGATTGGCAAAACTGCAGGAGTTAAGAAAAATGGTGGTGTTTGCTGGCAAAACTCTTTGTATTCTCAGAGCAAAGCACTTGGTTTTTAAGCTGTATCATTACTCACTGGGGGAGAACAGCCTTAAAGAGGAGTCAAGTATTACTTCTCCAGTTACTGTAATAACCAGTCAGTTCTGACCTCAGTTCTGCACTTTGTGCAAGGAATTAAGTTACCTAAAAGCAGTCAGAACCAAAACCAAGATGATGATGAGGACTCCCCTGAAGGCTATCTAAGCTTGGAGCAATCTTGGATGAGTGTTTAGCTTGTAGCAGTGTTACTAAGGGGAGGGGAAGCCTGCTTCTCCCAGAATAATACACCAGAAAAGATACACTTCAGAAGGAGGGTCAGCTTTAGCAATGATCTCTCCTGCTTGTTCTTCCACATTGTTGGTATCAACAGCAGCACTCTCCATTTTGAAGGCAGTGATCCTTTGGTTTGGTATGGATTCTGCAAAGCCAAACTTCCCACCTTCTTTCCTAGGCATTCAGGGACAGACATGATTTCAGGATGTTTCACACTTTCAAAAGGTTTCTCTTTTCAAGTTCAAATATACAAATACTTCCTCTTTAAAACAAATACATGTGAAAACAATTTGCTGGTCAAATTACAGGTTGACATTACTTTATAGTATCTTGCTTAAAAACACCTATTTCCCTCCTTGTCCAAAACACTCACCTAGCTTTCTGGTCATTCTCCAAGGCTTTCTGAATGAGTTCTGTTATTTCTGCCACCTTAACAGCTGCTATTTTAGTGCATCTCAGAATCTGTTTCACAAACAACAGGAGGTTACGATCAGGAAAGCAAGAAGTTTTTCACTAAAACTGCAGCATATCATAGAAATCACAACCACCTAATAAAATATGGCATCTCAGGATGAGGGATTGGATTCACCAAGGTTAAGAGCAATGCAAAAGGTTATTACAAGAGCCTCCAGCACTTCCTCAGAGTGCAACTGGAAATAATTTACAGACTCCCTCAGCCATATCACAGGGGAAAAAGATGCACATCTGACCAAAAACTATGCCTTTTCTACATCTCTTCTGCAGCATGGTACACTCTACTATGCTCTTCCACTAGGACTAAAAATACATAACCTTTTCCAACAGAATCAGACAGCTAATGGATTTCTTAGCTTCCAAATGTCACTATTTCCAGAGAAAGAATTACAGCACAGGACCTAGTTTATATACCACGGAAGGCCTGGTCAAGGCAAAGGTTTACCTGGTCCTGTACCAGCATAACTCCTCCAGTGGAATGGATGGTACAAATCTCCCGGTGTTTGTTCATGGCAATCACAAGGAGCCCATCCATCACACGCTCCTCACGCTCACTGGGATCCACCAATAAATAGTTCCTAGAATCAGGTGTTAAAACACAAGGCAAGAGGATATGTTTGAGGTGAGTTATTACCCTTTAAACTGTTAAACAAAGGAATTGGTTTACATATTAGTAACTACTCCCCCCAGAAAGTTTTGTCCATCATCTGTGAAAAGCTGCTGCTTAGCTACAGTGTGCAGAACACATGAATATCTCCCCATAAAATCTTCTAAGAAATTAGCTTGTATTTTTAGGACACTTTTATGTTTGAAAATCATTCTGCATAAGTGACAATAAGATGTTGCTGTCAAAAAAACTTCAAAATCTTACCCTTGGTGGAAGAAGGCAAAGCTGACACAAATAGGCATGTGGTGGATGCTCAAGGGGACAGGATCACGTTCCTCAGGAGTGTACTTGGAAAGGAATCAGCCCAGAAGAAAGTTATTGAACACATCTAATTTTAAGATGACAAACTGTACAAAGATACTGAAAGAAATAAACACCCCCCCAACTTACCACAGTCACTTCCTCTCCTTGGACAGACACGTCTGGTCGGCGAAAGTGACACAGAGCTACAATTCCTGCTATGCTGGCAGCATCAGCAATGTTCCCATCGTGGTTTAACAGGTGCATGTCCAGGCGGATTTGCCAGACCTGGGAGGAACACATACCTTGGTCATTTGTGACATGATTCTACAGAAGTTGTTGGTTTGCAAAATAAGATCACTTTTTGAACCATAAAAAGGACCACCATGTATTCCCCAGGTCTTTGTTTAAAGAAGATGAAAGCTCTCAGTATATTCCAAGATACTCAGTGTGTCAGATTTAATTATGACAAAATATGTAACACTTAAGTACAATTGAAACCTTATTCTGCAAAGAAATATTGGAGTATGCAGGGTCCAAACTACTTCAGACAACCAAGTTACAAATACCTGTGAAGTCAGATCTTTACATTAGCCTAAAATCAGCATATCTAGTTTCCAAAACTAAAATCACACAATATGTACCTTTTAGTTTAAAACCACTTGAAATTAGTAGGTTTTCATACCTTTTCACCAGCAACAACACAGAGAGATTCAGTATCTATACACTTGGAATCTCTCAGGCATCGTTCCAGTAGTCTGTTCAGTGACACCAGTAACTCAGATTGCCTGTCAAAACAAAATTAACCCAAACTGAATACAACTATACTCTAAACTTACATCTATCAAAACAGTGGCTCTTAAGACATCCTTGCTGGGTCGTTTTAAGACAGCTGCCTACCTGCCAGGCTCCAGACCAGGTGCAGCCATGGGTGAGAGCTCCAGATTAAAGAAGAGTACACCTTCTGTAGGCCGATTGGGCTTGGGGGCAACAAGTTCACATGAGACCTGTGCAAGAACCCTGCAAAGGCAAACAAACCACTGAGTCACAGAACTGATCAGGAAAGATCTCCTACTAGAAACAAAATACGCACTTGGAAAAAACATGCAATTAAAGGTTTAGTCTGCAATTCTCACTCCTGACAGTTTCTCATTCAATGCTTGTCATAGTCATTTAAACTCTTGTCAACAACTGAAAGAACCAAATGTAGGAATTAGAACATCCTCCTGTCTTTTATTATTAAAAATACTCAATCACATGAAAGACTTTAACTAAATGTTTACATTAGTGCATGTATTTCACTTTTCCACATATTAGAAGGGTCATTTGATTTGTGGAAGATTTCAAAATCCAAGATCAACGAATAAAGGGATGAAAAATGTAATAATTTTGCATTTTATCAATTATCTGTAATCTGCAATCATGTTAAGAGATTGAAATGGACCTTAATCATACAATGTTAAAGGGTTGGAATGGACCTTAATAATGGAATATTAAGGGGCTGGAATGGACTTTAAAGATCTTTTAGAGCCAACACCCCCTGCCATGGGCAGGGCCATGGAATCAATATGGAAACCTCATCCCTTCCTTTTTCCTTCCTTTCCCACTACTCCTCTTTCAAGGACAGATCCAAGGATAGTCCTACCCTTTAATTATTGTCCATTTTAGGCTTTAAAGTTAAAATCTGTGCATAGCGATCTCTGCACCCTCTGACAGACAAGCCACCCCGCCAGGCACTCTTTGCTCCGGCAGGTTTGGAACCCTAAGGCCTTATCTCCAGCGAGATGCCCAGTGCGGGCTACCCACAGCTGAACCCCGACCCCACCTGGTCTTGCCCAGCTCCACGATGCAGCAGCCGCGGTCAGCGCCGAAGGAGACGCGAACATTGCGGTAGTCGTAGCACTCCCGCCCGTCCAGGCGCTGCGGGGACACAGACACATGGAGCGGGTTAGGTTAGCGCGGGGAGGGACACGGCGGCGGGAGACAAGGGCACGGGGAAGGGAACGCGAGCGCTGCCCCTTCCTCTCCTGTATGGCGCGGAGGAGGAAGCGCCGCTCGCAGTTGGACAGCGGCGTCGCCTTCATGGCCGC